CTGCTATCATTGCGGGCAGCAAGCTTCGAAATGGTGTTCAACATTGTGATACGGGTTCAAGGAGTGTCTCCGGTTCGGGCTTTCGAAGAGATCCGGTCCAAAGTGGTAAAAGTGGTAGACGAACGAGGTGGTGTTCGTGACAGGTAGGTTTCAAAAATCGATGTCGTTCTACGACGGCCGTATTGTGACTGCGAAGGAACGGTGGTAGAATATAGGGCGATCACCTAGAATAGTCTCCAACAAATGATCGTCTGACGAAAGAATGGCGACAAGAATCAGCTGAGACGCTGATCAAGGACTCAGGGTCGTTAGGACAAAAGAGAGAATGTACGGGGTCGGTTGGTCGAGGTTGGTGGTTAGGCGCGTGGTCGGTGATATCTCGCTGGGAAGATCGAGATCGACCAGGCTGGGAGTCAGACGGACGAACGAACGGACAGCAAGATGAGCAGCTGAAAGAGTGAAGCTGACACCTGCTAAAGGTGGAAAGAGAACGTGACGGTGGTGTTGCAGGAAGATGAGGAAGGAGGAAGAATGAGGGGAGGGGTTGGTATGGGGGGGGGGGGGAGGAGGAGGGAGGAAGTCGTCGCTGGGGGAATGAAGTATTAGCAACAAGAACGGGGGGAAAGGAAGAAAAGCAGAAAAGAGAGTGAGTGAGTGGGATTGGGGGGGGAAGAAAGGGTTTGAATGGAGAGAGCGAGAGCGAGAGTGAGAGTGAGAGTGAGAGTGAGAGAGCAGGGGAGTGTCTGTCTGTCAGTGTGAACTGGGCTGGACGGCAGCAGGAACGAGGCGCAAGGCGCTTAGGCACAACTTAGTCCTTAGTCGGACTCCGTCCAAGTCCAGACTTTCGCTCGGTCGGGAAAAGCAAGGGCGACTATTGAGAGACTAACCAGAGTAAGTTTGCTGGTCAACTGGTAATTTCCATCTCTCCGCCTATCGGACCTCGACTGTCCCTGAACCACTTTCACGTTGGCCTTTTTTTAGCTGCCCCCCCCTGAACCATCTTCTTGGACTCGAACCTCGTACAATACACCAGTACTACCCAAGACTATCAGGTAAGACCACCTCCACATCCAACGAATAAGTGAAAAGAGAGGAGCAAAGAACAAAAGGCCAGTCACCATTCCATGCACGAACAGCAGCATCTCTGAGTTCACAAACATAACACACCATGTTGAACTGGAGTGAGACATTCTTCAAGACATGTCGGAAACTCCGGATACCGACTGGAGCAGGAAAATGCCCCGTACCTGAATGATCCACTCGCGCCCACCACAACAAAAACAAAAACAAAAAGAAAACTTTTTCGAATACTTACATCATGGGTCAAAGATCTCTTTCTTTACGCAATCGATTGTTGTCTCTATCTGTGTACTCCGACTATACTGCCTAAACATGCAGCAGTGCTGGCCCCAACCACCAGCAACCAGAACGAAAAAAAAAAAAAGACACATGTGACATCAGAACCACCTGTCAGACTGGCAGTCTCCATCTGTCACTCTCACTGGTGAAACACAACGACGGTTTGGACTCCGTCGTTACCGTTGGCACCAAACCCGGCCCTGACAGCAGCCACATCCACCAGCATCCAGAACAAAGTGAGGTTATTGCGGGGAAAGGGGAAAATATCACGCGACGGTTGTCGTATTTCCCATGTCCTCGACATATGACAGCGTAGATTTGGTTTGCTGCGGTTGTCGCAGTCGATGTGATAGTTCCAGAAAACATCAACACTACGGCACGGCTACGACTAAGGCGGCGTGAATATATATAGTAACTTGACCTTAAGGGATCACCTCAAGAACCTCCCCACAGTTCACAATGTCTGTGTTACCACCCACACTTACACCCACACCTATGGAAATTACAATGGGTAGTTTCTAAGATATATATAGGTAACGCGGGTTGTCTCTCTTTTTCCTCGCACAAACTCCAACCCGCGGGACGAACCCCTTTGGCTCAGAGACAAAGTGGTTTGTTTATACTTACCTACCTTGCACTCTCATCCCCTCCCGCGAGGCAAAAAGTTCACGAGCAATGATCATGCGGGATGCTGATTATCTCGCATTCTTACCATGCGTCATTAATCCTTGCTTACGCTGCTAACTACTGACATCGACTAAATACCCGAGATATGCCATGTTCACCCAGTAACCACATCCCCACATTCTCAATTGCGATCGGAAATGCGCGACGATCTTGATCTTGCAGAATAGCAAACCTTTGGACATGCGCATCGGTTCTTCAGGGTCGCATGTAATCAGTCCAATCAAGCTGTCACGTTCGATGCGGAGTCGGTTCACAATTTGACAACTATACTATGTCCAGTGTGGTTACTTCGGGAAAGATTATACACGAGATGCGCGGGCTTCTAGATGGAACCCACAAGTGCGTACGCTGCGACACGACAAAGTTGAAATCTATTCATCTCGTCAGGAGAGAAGACAGCTCCTCGACATTAAGTACATACAACAAAACGGGACTCATAAGTCAATAAGTCACAAACTGCATTTGACACACACACACTGGCCTTCTAAACTACCAAATTTATATTTTCACAACGCCCAGAAAGCAAAGTAAGTTATGATTGCCATCATCAGAATCCCTCCCAATGGAACTCCCGCAAGGCTACTAGTCGTACCGCTGCTTCCCCGTTCGTAATCCACAAGTTTTGCATCCTATTGCTTGCGAGCAACACTGCGCTGGCCCTGGACAACGGCCTTGGAGACCTCGTCCAGGCAGCCGGCGGCGGCAGCGAAGAAACCGAGGAAGGCCCGGCTGGGGCTCAAGACACGGCTCAGGTACTCCGGGTGGAACTGGACGCCGACAAACCAGGGGTGGTCCTTGATTTCAACAATCTCCATCCGCTCGCCCTTGGTGTCCTTGCCGATGAAGGTGAGACCGGCCTTCTCGATCTGCTCGATCATGGCCGGGTTGACCTCGTAGCGGTGACGGTGGCGCTCCTCAATCTGCGAGACCGAGGGGCCGTACATGCCCCGCAGGCGGGACCATTCGGTGTTCTCCTGGAAGATACAGGGGTGCTTGCCAAGACGCATTGTCCCGCCAAGCTTGCCCTTGTCGACCTCGGGCATGTAGACGATGGCGTGGTTCTCGGCCGCCGGGTGCAGCTCCTCGCTGCCGACGTCCTCGATGCCCACCACGTTGCGGCAGTACTCCAGCACAGCCAGCTGCATACCCAGACAGACTCCCAAGAAGGGCTTCTTGTTGGTCCGTGCCCACGTGATCGCCTTCATCATACCCTCCGTACCGCGGTTGCCGAAGCCACCGGGCACCAGGACACCGTCCGCGGTGCAGACGGAATGCCACGCCTTGTGGTAGTCGGCGGGGGCGGTTCCGTCCTCCAGGTGCGACGAGTCCACCCAGATAATCTTGACCTTCTTGTGGCAGAACATGGCGGCGTGCTCGAGGGCCTTGGACACACTGATGTAGGCGTCGTGGAGAGAGGTGTACTTGCCAACCAGGGCAATGGTCACCGGGTCGTGCAGGAAATCCTGTCCCTGGGCGAGGTCGACCCAGTCCTTCCACATGCGGCTGCCGCGCTCGATCCGCTCGGGGGTGGGTTGGATCGGCGTGAGATCGAGCATCTGGGTGATTGTGTTGATGAGCTTCTGCTTCTCCAGCAGAAGGGGGACGTGATACGTCGTCGTCACGTTGTGCACAGCGATGACCTGGTGTTGCTCGACCGAGCACATGTTGGCGATCTTCTGGATCGTGCTCGCCTCGAGGGGCTGCTCGCAGCGACAGGCGATCAGGTCCGGGCTGAGACCGGCACTCCGCACATCACTGATGGCTCTCTGTGTGGGTTTCGTCTTCTGCTCACCACCGGGTCCGGGGGGGATGACCGGCACGTAGGAGACGTGAATCTGGACAAAGTTGCCCTTGCCAGCCTTACGCTGCAGCTGGCTCAGAGCGTGGATGAAGGGAGCACTCTCAATGTCTCCGACGGTACCGCCCAGCTCGATAATGCAGACGTCCGGCTCGGCGCGGGACTCGTCCACAGGGATCCGGGCGACGCGCTCAATCCATTCCTGGATGGCGTCGGTGATGTGGGGCACGACCTGGACGGTCTTGCCCAAGTAGTGGCCGATACGCTCGCGGTTGATGACATCCTGGTACACCTTTCCCGTGGTGATGTTGTGGTCCCGAGTGAGCGACGTGAGCAGGTAGCGCTCGTAGTTGCCAAGGTCAAGGTCCATTTCACCGCCGTCATCAGTGACATAGACCTCACCGTGTCTGGGGGATGTCAATAAACGGGGTCAGCACCAGAAAGCCGGATCTCAAGATACTGACTCGGTAGGTGCCATAGTGCCCGCATCGATGTTGATGTAAGGGTCGATCTTGATACTGGTAACCGTAAGACCAGTAGTTTTGAGGAGCAGACCGGTGCTGGAGGCAATAATGCCCTTGCCCACGCCGGAAATGACACCTGATTGAGGAGTTCCCCGTTAGATGACTCGGACACAGATAAACGGGAGAGAAACAATGAGTTCTAACTTACCTCCAGAGACCAGAACGTACTTCATCTTTGCAGCAACCGACCGTAGAATTTGTGGTGACGACAGACGTGAACGATGCCGCAAGAGGGGTGGAAGGACGAGGCAGAAAAAAAAGTTGAGTGACTCCGATCGGTGGAGCAGTCACGTGGCGGGGGAACTTATCTTATCAAAAAACTTTCCGATAAAAGTAGATTCCCGGGTTGGCCACGACAGGCACACTCACAAGAGAACCTAGCACAATCTCGCTACCACTTCGGCGAAAATGCCTTGGTCTTGGTTATATAGAGCCAGGAACCTATTCCTGGGAACCCCTACCGACTATATCACCGTCCATGCTAGTTTGAGTCATGTCGAGTCACATAAGTGACCTTGGTTAACTGAGTTCACCGAACGCGCTTATCTAATCGAACTATCATTCTGAGTGCCCTGACTACTACTGTACTAGTCGAAGGCAGCACTGCCAATCCCATTGGAAAGCCAGGTCCTCAGCCTAACGGATGCCTGCTTAGTCTCATCGGAGATTCTCAGCCTCACGCTGTTTCATACAGCAGCCCGGCTGAGAAATTCTGCATCCTCAGAAGCCAATATATTTCTTAATAGCGTTGAGATCACCCAGGCAAACCGAAAGAAGCCTTGTCGACCGATGGGTTCTAGCTCAAGAAGCAGTTCCGAGCACAGCAGGCGGAGACCGTCACCATGGCGGAGGATCGATCGTGATACGATTGACGCGAACAGCGACACCTATGTATATACTGACAATGATCCCGAGATTGAAGGGATAAACAAACCCAAAACTCTCCATGAGGCGGCTTACGAGGATAACTATGAAGCGGCGAAGGTGCTACTTCGCAAAGGAGCGGCGATCGACCTTCCAGACTTGAATGGAGATACCGCGCTTCACATTGCTGTCATGAAGCACTCGAATGACTTTGTACGATTCTTGATCGATAAAGGCGCAGATGTTAACCGCCTTGGCAGCGAGGGTCTAACGCCTCTGCTTCTGGCCTGCAGCCAACCCAATTACGACATCGCAAAACGCCTTCTTGAAGCGGGGGCCGATGTCGACGCCGCGGACGACAAGGGGAGAACAGCACTGCATCATGCCTGCATTCAGGAACGCGAAGGTATGGTCGAGTTGCTCTTCCAATATGGAGCTCGGGCGGATCCCCGGGATAATTCCGGGCGTACGCCGTTACATCTTGCACTGGCTCGCCATCAATCCGAGATGCTGAATACGCTGCTTCATCACGGGGCAAATGTCAATGCAGTGGACCCCGAGGGGAGGGCGCCGCTGCATTATGCTGCCAAAGCGGGGTGGGCTAGACCAATGCGTGCGCTGCTTCGGCCTGAGGTGGATGTCGACGCAAAAGATGCTGATGGAAATACGGCACTCCATCTCGCCTGTCTCGGTGGTTTCAAGCAGGTGATGTGGCTTTTGCTTGAACATGGAGCTAGCGTACACATCAAGGACTCCGATGGGCTGACGGCTCTACAGCTAGCCTCTAGCACTGGACAGTCGACGAGTATAGTGCGCCTATTACAGCACTATGAGGCGAAGGTTGATACCGAGGACTTTTCCAAAGCGCGATCGCGTTCAGTCTCTCCTCCGCGCAGACTGCGTGCCATGAGATCTACAAGTATCATCTTAGAGCCGAAGAAGGTCGAAGTAGAGAGCGTGTCTAGCCACGAGATGCCGCGACTGAGAAACAAAGAAACAGGAAGCGAGCTGAGTCACGATAAATTGGAACCGACTGACGACATGGCGGCAGGTTCTGAAATAGACTCTGCGCAGAAAATGCTGGGGCAGAATCACTGGGATGGCGTACGTCGGGACAATGGCGACGGCTATATCTTGGCCAAGTATGACGGTCATGACATCTACTGCGACGCCAAAATGGAGTCAATCCATTCATCATCCCACGAGGGCCAGGAGATGCATGCGATCCAGCTCAAACTCAACTTCATGAAGCCCCATTCCTTGAAACATCGCATCCGGTATGCAGAAGTCGACGTGGCCCTCTGTGCAACCGACCTGAAAGCGTTGCCCAATATCCGCACAATCATGCCGCAGGCTGACCGGGTCGAAGTGTCGGAGCAGGAGATCACCACAGGACAGAAGTTCACAGTTGGGGCGAACGGAAACGGCGGACCGTCCAGCGTCAACATCAGCATGGAAGGCTCCAAAGGAAGAAAGTCCACCTTCAAAGGCGTCCGGATAATCCACGGGGCAGTCAAGGACCGGATGCACGCCTCCTGGCGACTGTATGAGGAGCCAGGGAGCAAGAGCGGGCTACCAGAGATAGTCCGCCTCCTTCTGGTGGTCCAATGCGAGGCTGAGTTCGAGCTGCGTGCGTCGCTGTCCGCGAGGGCCAGCCATTTCTTCTCGTTCGGCATCCCACGCACGGTGACAGCCAAGCAGGGGCCCCCGTACCTGGTCCCCCCACTGGCGGAGATCATGTCGCTCGAGCAAGCGATGAAGCTGAAACTGATACTGGGCGTTGCGGACCGGGCGGCTGTCATGGTCGAGGACGCGAAGAGGCTGGAGCAGAGAGTCACTCAGTCGATCAAGGGGCATACAAAGAGGGCTCTGATTATGGAAGCAGGGGCGAGCGAAAGCAACATTCGCGACTGGGCGGACATCGCGGATGCGTCCAGCTACGGGGATTTCGCCCTCCTGTGCGAGAAACTGCTCCGGACGCGGGAGATCGAGAGCCCGGAGGTCAGGCCACGGCCGAGGCGCTGGAGCCCTGCCCCTGTACCGATAGTGGAAAGATCGCACTCGCACTGGAGGCGTGAGAGTCTCGACTTCGATGGAGACGACCGAGGATACGCGCGACGAATGCGAGCGAGGCTTGGGGTCGATGAGGCCGAAGAGGCGATTGCGCCTACACACCGCTCGAGAAATGTCCATGGCTTCTCGGCGGTTGGTCCAGGATATAAGGTATCACGGCTGGCCTAGGGGGTTGTGCATCGAGTGGAGTGACTGTCATTGCTTCAATTAGCATGCGCTGCAGCTGTATGATGATGGGGGTGGATATCTTAGCATGAAAATTACCTGGTAACTTCGATGATAAGGATTTCGATAGGAGGTAGTCAATCTGGAGGCAGTGACTAGTATGAAAGCTGTAACCTAATAATATATATGATGCACAGGAAGGACCTCAAAATTGCCAAATATTCGAAGATTTATGTCTCATAACATTTAGTGCATGTGCGATCTAGCCCCATCTGCGGAATCACATCGCATTGTTGGCATATAGCTTATAAGTAGCTATATATATCTTGTAGTGGACAGGAGTGAACGTCCAATTCGACCAGACCTCAGATTCGAGTATACATGCAGAGCTTCGAGTCTCGTAGCTACTAGTATTAACAATGACTTTTCAGGTAGTATACTTGCAATGAAAGGGCTTTCCAGGCTTCTCGCTCTCATTGAGTATTGATACCAGCATCTCACGGCCAGTCAACTTCTACAAGCTGAAACCAAACTGATACTCAGGTAGAAGGAGATCGATCCGGCCAATATATATGACTAACTCTTCGTCACCCATGATGGGTTATAAGTCAAATGACATCATGTGCCGACAGTTCTTTGACAGGCATGACATCTACCTCGACCTCAGGCACGGAGGGCTCTCGAGGTGATGCTTCACGGAGCCTGACCTTCTGACAGATACACAACACCCAGGCCCCTCCCCTCAAGTCTTCTCGGATGGAGCGGCACAGAGAATGAGTCAGTCATTCGCTCACCATGATAGACAGCAGGACTGCAGCCGGAAGACAAACCCGTGCCGTCTTTCTCTCACTACCGTGTTTCGAGAGCCCGGCCCACGGTATAGGCTATCAAGTCACAAGCGCGACGGCTCGCAAATGAGCTCATATGGATAAGTATACTGCGGAAGAAGTCGAATATCTGAACCACTCGGGGCGACGAGTATATGACATACACTGTCATCCGTGTGATGTGTCTCCCTCAATCAGATGGTTTGAAGAACCGGTTCTTTGACACAATGACAAAGACAATGACTTGGCCCCCGAGTCATCGGAGAAGGGATCCCCTCATAGAATGAATGGGCAGCGAGCTATATCTTGGACAGGCTATATATAACTCACGGCAAGTGAATCATATGCCTCACGAGATGTTGGGAACGCTAGCGATAGCTTCGAGTTTCGTCTCTCTGGGCGGTGATAGAACTTGGAGGTAGAGAGCCATTCACACAAGCCCCGGCCGATGTTCGCTTGCGAGAGTGTTGATGTCCCCCGCCCCTCCTCCCCCCACCCCCCACGGCATGCGTGCCCATGGCATGGATCTACAATCTATGAGGCGTGTTACAGCCAGTGACGGTCCACGGTTGGTGGAATTGCTGGGCTACATACGTAGGGGTGGTAGGAATGGGGTGGAAGAAATCGCCGCTCTTTTTGATTGAGGTTTTTTCATTTTCTCAAGCCCCCTCTTTCAGTCACTTGCATTTGGGCGGGGGGGAGGGTGTAGTGTATTCAGAGTGGGCATTGTAGATAAGGCAAGTTTGAAGTTGGGGGGTAAGGGTGGGAGATTTGCACGCATGCAAGGTGAATTTGGGGTTGTGCTGTGCTTGGGGGGGGGGTTGTTGTTGTTGTTCGAGACTCCTCTTCAGGAGTGAAAGTCATGTTAGCCTTGCCTCGTAAATGAAATTAACCTAAAGGGACAAAAGGATTAAGACTACTTACCGAGCTACACTGCATACGAACATCCCCGTGCTACCTATTTACCGAGTGCCATGAACCTACATCCGATAAAGCAGCAGCCATGACGACGGCAGAGGAACTACAGCCCGACCACCAAAGATTCTCCTCCTCCCGTCCCCTGGAATTTGCTTGGAGTTCTTTGGTTCCTCGGCCGTCAAAACGGCAGGGCGGATGAAACCTAAATCGAGTGTTACTTGTTTGGATGCAAGGGGGGGTTGCGATTTCATGCGTGCCTCTTGGTTCAATGGAGTATGGTGGGGAAAAGTCAACGAGATAAGCTGTATGTATGTGTGTATGCACTGTTGGCAGCTACATGAGTCGCACCAACTGGAGGAAAGCGTGGGGATAGATAGGGATAACGTGGGGGTGTATTGTTATTATTGTTATTGTTGTTTGGTTGTTATTGTTGCTGCTGCTGTGGTTCCCTGACAGGAACGTCGAAAAGTGCCTAACAATCGAGTCGCGCGGCTAGTAGGTATGCATTATGGAAGGGGGAGGGTGATTAGATTAAATAGCTGCATGAGACGGTGGTCTGCTCCTCACTGCTGCTGATGTTGTCCGTAGGTTGAGTGATCAAGGCCAGCGAGCATGCTTACAACCTTTGCGACGTGATGAAAGGTGGTTGGTGGTTCCATGGTTATGGGGACGCCTTTGACCATTGCATCCTAATTCCACATGTAAATGAGGGGGGAGGGGAAATCAACCCTTTCACAATCGATGGGTATTGAGAGTGCTTCTTGATCAGAACAATTGCCCCTCATTCAATTAATAAAATATGCCAGGAATCATTTGATTAATGATCAGTGCTTGGTGGGAGTATGATGGTGGTAATCACAGGATGGAACAATGGTCGAAAGGAACGAACGACTCGGCCCGGAATATCAAGGCATCATGAATCCATTGTCGAAGGGTCCAAAGGTGGCCCGAGAATAATAAACTCTGATTTAACAAGAAAAATCCAAGCTAGTTTAGTGGATCCGATCGATCGGGCTGGAGCGCAACTTTACCTTTACGTGGACTGCCAATCTTCCTTAGAATCAACCAACCCCTCTCATCATCATCAGACTCATGAACAATGTTTCGAAAAAATTCATCAAGGCACATGGTATATACGGCCCCCCCCCCGGCTCAAAACACATATAGATATACAGATAAAAGTGCCTCGCTGAATGACTCTCGAGTATCGGCCTGGCTAGCCTGTCCAGCCCAAGACAAGGAACCAGAAATTCACAATCGGAAGTGTTGGCTAGGAACTGAGGTCCGACATTGCCGAATGACACCCTCTCCGACGTTCTTCGTAAGACCCTAAACTCCCTCAGCCCACGGGATCTCTCTCTCGCAGTCAATCGTGCTTCTGCGCCATCTTGCCACCAGAAATGATACGGGAGGGGAACGGGGGGAACGGGGAAAGGGGAAGGGGAAGGGGAGAAATCCATTACGCAACAGTAGCCGAAATGTCAACCACGTCAGGACACACAATGATGGCAACGACGGGTGGTTCTGGCGGAGGGGTGAGTTCTGACTGTGGCGGTCAGCCTATTATGCTGCTGTCCTTGGTTAGACCTTTTCCCCTTCAACTTGGTTTGTGCAACCCTCATTAACCCAATCCAGGGGGTGTTGCAGTACTAGGTGTCCTTCAGGAACGATGTAAGTCAAAAGGACAGGCAAAATTGATGGGGTGGAAGGAAGTCCGGGGTCTTTTTGGAGGTGGGGAAGATAATGGTTGACGGCAGTTAGAGTGTGAAGCATGAATACTGAGAGTATGTGTGAATGATAGTAGTTACAGTATGTATGTATGACCTAAGTAGTACTCATAGCGATACGCCCAGACTCGGGGATTGAGGGGCCGGTCGCCTCAGATGGAAGCCTAAAAAAGAAGCGGCGGGAGCGAATTTGGGCGGCCCCAGAATCAGCGCCAGTTTAGAACCCTTTGGAACTTGGACTGGAACTGGAAACTAAAGCTGGAACGAACCGTATCGGACGGAACAATTGTGGATGTGGATGGATGGACAAGCGCCCAGAGGGAACGGGAAGGCGGAGGAGGGCTGAAGAGGATCCGGTACCTGCTCGCCCAGTGCGCCACCCATACTTTGCTCAAGTACTCAACTCCTCAAAACTCCTCAAGTACACTGCGAGGATCGACAAGATCGTCTGTCTGGTATTGTCATTCTCCTGTACGGAGTAACTATCCTGTAATTCTTACCAGCAGCGGCCACCCACCAACTGGACCCAAAGAATTCTGGTCGCAAGACACGCAGCATCTTTGTCTAGCTTAACTTAAGTTGCTGTTGCTTGTCTGGCTTGTTCAGCCCAGCTAATCTGCTAGCAACCCACAACTTGGCTACCAATACGTACATACGTACTGTACTGCTGGTGTTGCTGGTTGCTTGCTTATCTACGTATCATTCCCTATCCATCCAACTCATCCTCCTCCCTCCTCCTCTATCCATCCATCAATCAATCAATTCCTCCTCCCTCATCCTGGCCGCCGCTGCAGACTGAGTAAGGCCCTTTCCTTTTGCTTTCTCTCCTCCCTTTTCGTTTCCAGTTATCGATTCTTCCTTCTCTCTCATTTTCTCCCTCCCTCTTCCTCCCTTAACCATTTGTCATTTTTCTTCTTTTCTTGACGGGGTCGCCTTTGGTGCCTCTTTTGTGCTACCGACTTTCACTTGTCGCGGGTCAACCCAGTTCGTTTTTTTCAGGTTCGATTTTTTTTTATTATTAAAATAACCTTTTCTTTTCCCTACTCTGAAATCATTCCGACCTTCAACTCTCAACCAACTCTCTCTCCTTCACTCACTACGTGAATTCTCTCATCTCTCTCTTCTCGGTCACTATTTTCCGCCCATACTATTTTTATTTTATTATCTTTTTCTTCTCTTTTTCTCAAAAATCTTCCATATAAATTCCGACCGGTTTCCCCAGTTCCACCCTCTCAGCGAAAGTCTAAAACGGAGGTGCGATAAAATACTGATCTGCTTTGGGACCAGTTCGGGTGTCATGCTTGCTTTCGCCTTGTGTCACAACTGAATTACATTAATGCCGTGCTTCGTCTCTCGTCCACATTCCCATCGTTCGACACTCCACTAAATCACGCCGTCTTGCGCAACAAGCACATTCTCCTTCCATACCAACTGCAATCTCCTCCAACCCTTCGCCCCTCCCCACACCCCTTGCCGCTGCGACTCATCCGAGCTCCTAACGTTTGTCTGATTAAAACTGGACCCGTGTCGGCTATCCCTCTCTTCTCTGGAGAGAGCGCATGAGGACGATCTGCGAAGTTCGAGGTTTCTGGAGCATGCACGGAGCATAGTCACATCGCAATATCTTTGGGCGATTTTTGATCTACTGCTGCGTGCGGAGCATCGCGCTGGCAAACAGAAGAAGCTCCGGTCGCCTTGCGTTTCTTCTTCGTCGGGCCTACCTCCTTCCTCTGTTAAGCATTTTTCGCCTGCCACGCTCTTCCTCCCTTCCGTACCCCATCCCTTCGAGACCCCTGTGTAATTCTTGCATTGCTTGACCGTGTCTATTCTGGACAGAAACATATTCCTATTCTTCCGCGGAACCTGTCTACTCTTTTCTATCCCCATCCCTTCTCTTCCTCGTCCCGCCTCTGCCTGCCTCTCTTGTGAGTTGATCCTCAGTTCTCACGCAGTCCCATGAGCGCGGAGCGATCATATGGCTAATCCTCGTGCAGTCCGCTATCTGTTACAGAGCTCCTGCCCTAGTACATCCTGCTCGGCCGGTTATACCTATATCTATTCGATTCGATTCAATCTCGACCGTGGCATTGACCGTACACCTCGGAGGCTTCCCATAAGCAGAAGCAGCAACCCAAGCGTCTACGGGCGAAGATTCATTCAGACAGTCGGTTATACTGGATAGCGGAAGTCTTATGGTGGATTGCCCACTATGGCCTCCAACAACGCGAACACAGGTCACAACGTAGGTGGAAACTAGATATGTGGCAAGTGGGACAGTGTGGCTAACTACAATCCCAGGGACGGTCGAACAGAGGGTCCAATATGAATTCGGCAAATGTGGTCAGTGACAGGTCACGAACCTCTCACGCAAGCATGGGGAAAGGCTTCGGAAGTAGCAACGGAAGCTGGAGCAATAATAACATCTGGGGACGAACATTCGATGGTAAGCGATACACGAATCCGCCTAAGAAGCCGTGCTGTACTGATTGTATGTGCTCAGACCAACACAATGCAGAGAATGCGTTTGAAGGCAAGGCTGGTTCAAGCTCCTTGTTGTCGACATCGACATCCGAGTCCGACGGTTGGAACACCAGGCCCAACCTTCCATGGGGTACGATCAATACACCTGGCAGCGCACTGTCGAGGGGTCCGAATAGCGGTATGACGACTTCACCTGTTCAGACCCGGACCAATGATCGCAGCGCCGCCGCTCTATCGGAAGCAGCCGAAGCATCTTCATATTTTGCCCTGTCAAAGTCAACAGTTAGCGGTTCTTCCGGTAGCACGACTCACCAACCTTACTTGAATGGGAGAACTGAAGGCATATCTCCTTCCAGTGACGGGATTTCGCTTGGGAATTTTGGAGGGTTTCGCAATAATGATGGTAGACGGCACGTCAACACAGCTACATTTACCAGTAGCCCTGTGGGCTCGAGCTTCCCAATGAAGCCTGGATTTCCCAACATTGAGAGCAATAGAGCGGAGGAAGTGCCTTCGTCAATGGCCATGCCAGGTGTTCCTCAAGCTCTGCCCGATTTCATGCCCCAGCACGTCAGTCGCAATTCTTATGCACATGTCTCGCACAACTCTGCGTCCTTTGCGCCGGCGAGACCGCCACACTCCTCCTACCCATCATTTCACTCCGAGTCTCAGGGATATGAAGGCAGATCGGGATCAGTGGACATCGGTGCTGGATTAGGCAAGCTACAGCTCAACGAGAGTACCATCGCTGCGCAGACTGCCGGCCGCCCGGGCTTTGTCACTCATCAATCATACGACAATGCTGTCCAGCGACTTAACTATCAGAGCACCAGCGATGATATTAACTATCAGCTTGCCACCAACTACGGGAATGAGAACGTGACTGCAGACTTGCCACTTGCTTATCAAACCGTCAGGTCCCGTGTCGCCGAGGGTCATCCTTTGTCACCCGTTGAGTATAATCGGATGGAGAGCCCATTTTACGGACACGATAATGGCGCCCATTACCGAAACTCATCTGCAAGCCAGCTGCCCGAGAATCCGGCTGTGGTGTTGAGCCGAATGCGCGCTGATCATGAGCTTGCTCAGCAATCCGCAAACCCTCTTCAGCGTGCCAACTTCAGTCCCGGTTACGATATCAATGTGAACGGGTATCCAGCAGTTCAGCGAGTGAATGGCATGTCTGGGTTATACCACCCTGCCGCCCACCTTGGCGCAGCCGCTCTCCTCCAAAGGGGACAACGTGAGGACCCCTCTTCGCAGGTTGTCCGGAGCCCTGTCCTGGAGGATTTCAGGGCCAACAGCAAGGGGAACAAACGCTATGACCTGAAGGTGTGTATCCCTTGACCTTGCACGATGACATCCTTGCTGACCAGTTCTAGGATATATACGGTCATATAGTTGAATTCAGCGGTGATCAGCACGGGTCACGATTTATCCAGCAGAAACTCGAGACTGCCAACAGTGACGAGAAGGAGCAGGTTTTTCGGGAAATTCAGTCGAACAGCTTGCAGCTGATGACGGATGTTTTTGGAAATTACGTGGTGCAAAAGCTTTTTGAGCACGGCAACCAGACTCAGAAGAAAATCCTCGCCAATCAAATGAAGGGGCATATTCTTTCTCTTTCTACCCAGATGTATGGGTGCCGTGTGGTGCAAAAGGTAAGCTTGAGGTGTCATGGCGTTCATCTGGTTAATTGTTGCTAATACATCCTTCCATAGGCCCTCGAACACATCTTGACTGATCAACAAGCTTCCATGGTCAAAGAGCTTGAGTCGAGTGTTCTCAAGTGTGTACGAGACCAGAATGGTAACCATGTGATCCAAAAGGCCATTGAGCGAGTTCCGTCCGAATATGTGCAGTTCATCATCAATGCCTTCAAGGGTCAGGTGGAGAAATTGTCGGCTCACCCATACGGATGCCGTGTCATTCAGCGCATGCTGGAGCACTGTGAGCAAGCCGATCGCGAATCCATCCTGGCCGAATTGCACCCTTGCACCGCCAAACTCATTTCCGACCAATTTGGTAACTACGTGATTCAACATGTCATCGAGAATGGCGAAGAGAAGGATCGGTCGCGCATGATTAATGTTGTCATCGGCCAGTTGCTCACTTACTCCAAACACAAGTTTGCCAGTAACGTCGTGGAGAAGAGCATTGAGTTTGGGGAGCAATCTCAACGTCGACAGATCATCGACACTTTGACCAGTGTCAATGAGCGGGGTGATTCTCCCCTCATCGGCTTGATGCGTGACCAATACGGCAACTATGTCATCCGTAAGTTGGCACTCTTCAGCATAGTCAACTGCAGCTGCTAACTCTCCCCAGAGAAAATTCTTGGTCAACTACAAGACTCGCCCGAGGAAAAATATGCCCTTGTGATGCGCATCCAGCCGATGCTTGATCAGCTGAAGAAGTACAGTTACGGCAAGCAGATTGTTGCCATTGAGAAATTGATCGTTGGGATCCACCCTGGTCCCGAAGCGCCCCTCCCTCACACAGCCACCTCTACCACCCCGCCGAACTCGCATAAATCCTCTCCCCAGCCGTCGAAGCGTGCAGTCAACGGAGTCGAAAACGGCCGGGTTCCCGTTGTTGGAGCCGCGCCTCCAACACCCCCTCCGACTGATAGCCAAAGCGGCGCAGATAGCTCTTCCGAGTTCAAGAATATCCCCAAGGCGACCGTGACCTCGCTGGCTGAATCCGAATCAGCCGAGGCAGACTCGAGCGCCTCGGTCGAAGTCTCTGGGGCGACATAGATTGCAACGGCTCTATATCTAACATTGCTTTCTCTGAAATATAGCTTTATTTTTCCGATGTTCTGAGTTCTTCAACGACATTATTGATCGGGGCGTATACATACCGGGGCTTGAAGGAGGAACTGCTCCTCATCTTTCCGCCCACATTTCATGGCTTGACGGCGCAATATCCAGGGACACGGCGGAGACTTGAGGTCACTTGCTTTATTTCACTACTACTACTACTACTACTACTATTCCCCCGCCCCTTTTGCTTCTTGAAACTTTATTTTTCTACTTCTTTAATTGCTTGTGGATGTACTTTCTTCTGTTACCTTTGAAGTTCTTTGTGACGAAAATGAGGACATGCCTCCATAGCTATTGATATTTTCTGTTTCTCCGTGTCCTAACAACACGAAGGGTCGGCGTCAGTTATTGGTGAATCATGGGTTACGGGGCATCGCGCTTGAATTCCTTCGGAGGGTTAACAAAATGTGTGGGACCTTGGACATAATGGGAGACCTGGAAATAGGGAGAACATACGGGATGCCTAGAGCATGTAGAGGCTAAGCACTCTAGCTAGTATACAGACCACGAATTGAAATGTCTGGTTTTCGCGAGATGAGTTTGAATTGGCGTGTTGGTCGATTGGCCGTATTTACATCGTAGTATGTACATACAGTACGTAGTATCGCGCAATGAATGTCGGCAGTAACTGGATTGATGGTGTAGCTCCGTTATCATCACGTGACCGATAACTGCGCGGCCCCATTTCGACAGAGAAACCTGGACAATTAAGCTCCTTCGCCACGGAAGATACGACAATACCTGGCTTGCTTGACCTTGTTCCACCTAACCGACCAGATCGTCCATGCTGATGAATATCTGACTACTTACTTCGCGATCCACCTTCCTCCCAATCTTGAGCATCACACATACCTCCTCATATAACCGAATCGCACCCGACCGCCTACGATCTCACATCCTCTCAACGATCAACGAACAATCAAACCACCATTGCAATTCACCTTACCTCGCCCATCCCAACATCCCCCATCCCAAACCATCTAGAAGGACCAACATCATTGAAACACACAAATACACACACACACACACACACACACACACACACAAGCGAGCACAGACAGGGAAACACAGTTTCAAGGTTTCCAAGAATGTCCTCCAACGTCGGCCTCTCCACCCCCCGCGGCAGCGGCACCTCGGGCTACGTCCAGCGCAACGCCGCCTTCATCAAGCCCCGCACCACGGGCTACGGCCAACCGTACCCGCCCGTCTCGGGCGCCAACTCGGGCGCTGATTCGCGTGGCGCCGGCTTCAAGCAGCGCGTGCCGGATCGACAGATCCTCGAGCATGATCGGCGCCGCGCGGTCGAGGTCAAGGTTATGGAGTTAAGGGAGGAGTTGGAGGAGGAGAATGAGCGGTTGGAGGGTGCTGCAGCTGCAGCTGAGGAGGCGGGGAAGGGGGCTGCGGCAAAGAAGCAGAAGGGTGAGGCTGAGGACGAGGAGGAGGAGGAGGGCGAGGCTGCTGAGGGGAAAGGGAAACGGGTGCTCTCGGAGGAGGAGATTGAGGAGCAGTGTCAGCAGTTACGGGAGAGGTTGTTGAGGGAGTTGGAGGAGGAGGAGCGGCGGGTTGCGGCGCGGAAGGAGAGGGATGGGGGCAGGGGTGCGTCCGGGTATGCGGGTGGTAATGGTGGTGGGGGCAGGCGGTGGGGCAGGGAGAGGGACATGCCTCCTCCTTCCAAGAAACAGTTCAAGTCGTATCAGGTGCATGAGTTGGCTGAGGCTAAGATTGAGGAGAGTGAGCGGTTGAGGAGGGCGTTGGGGATCCGCGAGGATAGGGAGACTGGGGAGATTTCCGGGGGGAGAAGGAGGGATTGATTGTTGGACTGGTTGCGTGGTTTTGCTTGGGGTGGTGAATTATCTTGATGCTTTTGCTTGTATCTTTATCTGGGGTTTAGGGAAGGGAGGATTGATGGGTGCTTGGGCGTTACAGTATGGATTTGCTGTTTTTTTTTTTCACGGCGCCCTCTAAGCTCGTGATACTGCAATACTGGACCTTCGATGTTCAGACACAGCTGTACATTAACTATATTCTCATAACTTTTGCTTGCGGGCTTCGTCGCTATATATATCTCAAGTGACAAACTTCTCGATCACCCACCCCTCTTTGGGATCCTTCTTCTGGATGACCTTCTTCGCCGGCAAAGGCCACCTTGAACCACCGGCCTCGCCTACCAGCGCCGGGATCACCCAGCATGAGCGGCGCTCGGGGATCCCCTCGATCGTCTCCGCCTTGCCGATGGGCTTCCCGTACTCAATCAGCGGCGTGTTGTGGGCGATGGCGGAGAGCTGCAGTCCGCTGGGAGTCGCCAGGGGATACATCCGGATCTTGGGGGTCTGCTCGGCCGCCACCACCGACGGAGAAGATTGTTGGAGGTGGGAATACACGATGTACTGCGGCATCTCCTTGGCGGACATTTGCGCAAGGATGGACGAGGGATGCACATAGACGCACTTCTCGTTCAATTCCAGGCCCGGACCCTCGCGCGACCTCATCAGCGTGAAGTACGGGACGTCGATGGCTCGCTTAGGCGTCCGGGCCATCTCCGGAGGTACAGGCGCAAGATCGGCGCGGAGTGCCACGTTGTCGATGAAACCCGCCGTGATGATCTGCTTGAGAGCCTTAACCTGCTTCTCCGAGGGCTCCGGCAGGCGCGCCTGATAGGCACCGATGAGACCGGGGTTGTTGGTGCGCACAATATCTGTGAGTTGACGGCGGAGCTGGGTGGCTTCCTTGAAGGCCTTGGCGCGCAGGAACATCTTCTCACAGAACGAATCCCCGTCGGAGGCGTATCCGTAGGCGCAGATCGCGGACAGGTATTTCATCGCGTCAGATGTATCGTCATGCTTGCTGAACAGACGATGAGCCCGCGCGTAGTCTTTGTGGCGTTGCTCCCGCGCCGTGTCCTCGAGCCGGTCCGCGTTGGTGTACACCCCTTGGTCCTCGTTGGGTTTCGATGACACGGGATCGATCTGACTCTGAGGGACAAAGAGGTCGCCCACTGCCAGAGCAGCGACGAGGGCGATCACATACGGCATGCAGCCGTGCTGGTGGCCAACGTACAGCATCTTGCCGAATCGAGGAGACAGAGGGTAGGTGGAGAGCCGGTTACCGATCTGTGTGATCTTGCCCTCCGATGTCAGGGCCCCCAGATTCTTCAGCAGCTTTTCGGCCTTGGCCAAGCCTTGCCGGCTAGGGGGCGTGGGGAATGGGAAGTTGATAACGTTATGCAGACCCATGCTCTTCATCTGCAGCACGACACCTTCAATGGGCGTGCGCAGGATTTCGGGGTCGGTGTACTCGGCAAACTCGTTCTCGTAGATCGCGGACGAATAGAGGCGGTAGCAGTGGCCAGGTCCGGTTCTACCAGCACGACCTGCTCGCTGGTTTGCACTAGCCTTGCTGATCCATTCAATCTGGAACTTCTGCACTCCGGTAGACAGATCATATTGCTTCTCCTTAGCTCTGCCGCAGTCAAACACATACTTGATGCCAGGGATCGTCAAACTGGTCTCCGCCACGTTGGTGGCCAGAACAATGAGACGCGAGCCCTCTGGTGGCTCTTCGAAGATTTTGAGCTGCTCCTTGGTCGGAAGTTGAGAGTACAGGGGCAACACGTGGACCCGAGTCGTTGAGCTCATGGCCTCTTCGCCCAGATCAAATTCTTCGTCTTCTTCGTCCGGCTCATCCAAACCAGTGATCTCATAGTCACTTTCGTCATCTCCTTCGCCGCCAGGAACGGACAAATCGGCACCGCCGATTTCCAGATCTTCCGTCTCTAATGGCGCATCGTTGGCCGATATCTGGACCTTCACCTGGGTGGTGTCTGCTCGCTGAGTAGGCTTGAAGGCCTGCTTCAGCCGCTTGGAAAGTTGACGGATCTCGTTCTGTCCTGTCAGGAATACAAGAATTCCGCCCGGAGGCAGCTTGCGATGGCCGCGCGACACTTTGCGGAAAGACTCTTCGACATAATCGCGGTGGGTGCGTCTGGAGAAATGAATGGTGACGGGGTACTGACGACCCTCAGCCTGCACCAGTGGTGGCGGTCCCTGGCGGAATAGACTGGGGTTTTGCGTGAAATCGGAAATGCGCAGAGTAGCAGACATGATCACCAACTTCAAAGGCTTGACAGACGGGTCTTCCTCGCTCATTGATTTCCGAAGATCAACGATTCGGCTCACCATGCCAATGAGGATATCTGTGTTGACACTACGCTCATGGGCTTCATCGATCACGATGACAGAGTATTTCTTCAATGAGAAATCTTCAGCGATCTCCCGGATGAGGATACCGTCCGTCATGAATTTGACGGCAGTTTTGCTGGTTGCTGTACTGTCGAATCGAATCTGATAAGACACACGGTCGGAAAATTGACCCAGCTCATCGCCTACACGTTTCGCCATACTGACAGCAGCAACTCGGCGCGGCTGGGTAACAGCGATAATTCCAGGATTAGGTCCGTCAGGATGGCCATAGCCTGCTTCGAACAGGAATTGGGGTAGCTGGGTGGTTTTTCCGCTACCAGTAGCACCCCAAATCACGATCGAAGGGTTGTTGTAGATGGCTTCCATAATCTTCTGCTCCTCCCCGACAACAGGCAGGCCTAGACGTGCCTGCTGAATTTCTTCGGAACGATTGACTTGGACGCTGAAGGCCTTCCGGTTGGGATCTCCAGTAGTGACCTGCAGCTCTCGAGGCAGCGGCTCTTCCACATAGACTGTGTTCCTCACTGGTCTCTTTGATTCAGGGATAAACGGCATAGGTTCGGCGACAATTGGGACGGTCGCAGGCGTGAATCCCACGGCTTCATTGATTTGCTGCCGAGCCCAATCCTTGAATGCGGACAGTCGCGACTTAATTTTGTCTGCATGCTCTTCGTCTTCATCGTCATCTTCCTCCTCCTCATCCTCATCATCATCGTTGCTTTCTCCGTCCTCGTCCTCGTCCTCGTCCTCGTCACTCCCGCTGCCGCTGCCATCTTCACTTGTATCATCCTCTGAAGTTGCATCTGAGTCTTCTCCGGAGTGTTCTTCATCAGCCTCCTCCTCCTCCTCCTCCTCCTTCTCGCCCTCGTCATCTGATCCAAATCCGTCCCAAGGAACCTCGGGCATAGATATCGTGATTATCGGTTTCTTCTTGGGCGCGCGCTTCCGCTTTTTGAGGATCGGGAACCCATCAGGTCCGAGTTCGAGTGGGCGTTTCAGGCCACTGCCCACTGCCTGGGACTCTGCAGGTGTACTCGCGATGGCAATGGATTTGGCCGGAGGTAGCGAATCGTCTGTCTCGTCACCGGACGAATAGTCGACGTGAGAGGCATTACGGTCTGTAGTCGTGGGCCGAGGCGGTCTCTCATCAGGCCTCTTGCGCTTTCCGAGTTCCTTCGTGCTTTGGAGAGCAGAGGTGTCGACCTTGCTTTGCGCGAGCTTCTTCAACAGTTCAATGTTCTCCTCTTTCTTCAATTTTGTTTCCTGCGAGTGAGATTAGAAAATAGGGTCTCCTAAGCAGCGCACAACAAAAGACGCACAATATACTTATCCAGGCGCTTCTGTTTCTTGGAGGATATGGTAGGGTTCTGCGACTTCAATTCCTCCTTCAGCTTCTGTCGCTTGGCTTCTTTCTCACTTTTGGAGACGGGCAAAATTTCGGCAGCATTGGTATCTACCCCGGTGGTCGACTCCGCCTGCTGCCGGTGTTTCTGCTTCCGCTGACGGGGAACAAACTTGGGCATGGTTCCTGGAGGTAGAAGCGATCGCTCCTACTCAGTCTACCAGGATCAAATGGCCGCAAGATAAGAGAAATCTGAGTTGTGATAGTGATGCTCAATCCATGAGGAGAGAAAAAATTACGCGGCGGAGCCATTCTGCCCCGCAGGCGGTGAGGCAGATACTCACCGCCTTTCGTGATGATCGGCGGCGGGGAATGAATAACTACAGGTCTATCATCTTGCGGCTCCAACAGCTTTCATCAGATCGTACTTCATTTTTGTCTCATTGAGGTATAATACTCTAGACGTTCTACGTGACTTTCTAAGTATAGTCTACGAACACATCGTTCATTTGCCATCATGGTTGAAGCAGTCAATCTTGATCCTTTTCTGGAACCAATCAACCTACCCTTCCCCGCAGTCACAAAACAAGCCGCCGGAGTCATCAATGGTATCCCCACCGATGTTATGCTTGTCAAATTCAGTGACCGGATCTTGGTGACTATCTCGCAAAAGGGTCGACTCGGCCACTGGGTCTGTGATCCGTCTAAGCATTGCACCGACCTTCTCCACTGACCTATCACAGCTTCATGTCCCCTTGGAGAACAAGAATCCCGGTACAGAGAGTTTCCACATCATCCCCGATGCTTCGGATGACAGTCTTCTTCCGATTAGCAACTTGACCGCTACATCACTGCTGGGAGGTCGAGCCCCCGGTCATGAGGTTGTTGGTCAGCTGTATGCTCGGCAGATCGCGAGTGCTATTGTCACCAAGACGCCGGATGAGAAGCGGCTGCTGGTTCTTGGGCTTGGTCTCGAGACAGCCGACGCTGATCGGGATGTCTTCTTCGCTATCATTGATCTGGTGCTTCAGTGCGTCTGAGGAGTGGGCAAAGTAGGTCGAAGGCGGCAACTGCTATGCTGACTTGAAGCTGTGGCTGTTCGGCATGGTTCATACCCGTATCCGATTTTCGGGTCGAACGCGTGGAGATTTCTCTCCTTTCCTCAGGATTGATTTTTCTGGTCTCCTCAGAAACCAATATCCTCCAGCTAGAGTTGGAGAAAGTGAAGACAA